ACGACGAGCAGTGCATATTCCACGCGACACTGCGAACGTTCTCAGTTCTTCGACGCCGATGCACAGTCCCGATCTTTCCCCAAGGAGCCAGTACCTTCTTGCGACATAGCACTCTTTGAGAAGTATTTGAAGGAAAAGACGCCGACAGGCCCTCGCACCTTCCACAGAGGGTACAGGCTTGCCGTCGTGTCTGGCCCGCATACCCGGACCTTGAGCGGGATCAATCTTCCCTGGACCCCACAGCAACCGATCCCATATGGCTTCCTCCGAGGTGAAGGTGGCGACCCAGCCCTCCTGCTAAAGTGCGACAATGGGCGCTACAAGGGCAGCATGGTGCTGTCCTTCAAGGACGAAGCTGAGCGTCTGAACTTCCATACGCTCCTCACTGGCACGGCGGTGCAGAACGATGAGACCATTTACGCAGACGTCCCATTAGTAGGCTATACCCTGAGCCACTCTTTGGACGACTCCAAAGGATTGCCCGGCATCACCAAGCTTCCTTGGCAATCGGTCCGTGTCATCAATGATGACCACGGAGGTGACGATATGCCGCCAACGGTGCTCTCCGACAAGCTGAGAGTGATTGTCGATTCCAAGGTGGGCACGATTGCCGACCGCGTCAACGTTGAGACGGGCGAACTCCGGGTCAGGCTGGAGGTCAGTGATGCCAAGACACTTGTCGTATTGAGGCGGCCTCAGAACGACGTGACGATGGCTGTATCCGATTCTCAAGTCGGCCGGGAAAGTCCGAAAGAAATGGAGCAGACTTTGCAGATGTTGCAGACGACACAGTCCATCCGGACGTTCAAGTTCCCCAGCTTGAAGGATCTTCACGCCTTCCAAGCAGCCCTCACGGGGTTCCAGGTCAAATATGACAGTCTTGCCGTTGGGTTTTCCATTACCCGCCGGCGAATGGTGGTTCCTGTTCATAAAAAATGGGAAGCCGGCTGGACGCGAGTCCAGGTGGTGCAGCAGGACACAGTTCCACAGCTACTCGCCTTCTTCCCCGACTTCAAGCATGGACAATGCATGAACTTTGTTCTCAAAGGAACAGATGTCTATGAAACGTTCTCTCGCAGCGGCAAATTCGGTCTTCGATTCGTCGACGCCAAGTTTCCGCTCCCACGCATGCCAGTTGATAACGAAGGTCCCACAGACGACATGGGCTTTATATGTCTCGATTTCCCAGACTTGCCTGGAGAACATGACGATGTTTCGTTCCTATTCGAGAACGAAGCCGGTAAGTCCATCACATTGGAAACGCGGGCAGGAAGCTTGAACATTACTGACCTGTGTCCTAAGATCGCGAACGCCTGTGCCAGTGTCTTCCGGCACCTGTGAAGGGCGGGTCCCGGCTCGCTAGCAAGATCAATTTTTAGGGTAGAATGTGAGTGCTGAAGCGACATGATATCAGACACAGCATGGCATATGGTCAGCGACAAGGATGTATTTGGATTGACAGACGGGACCTGTGGCAAAACCCTGTCTCGTAGGTGAGGGGGCGGAATGCGAGATACCCTCGTCGTGCGTGCAGTAGAGAACTGCTTGTCATGATGGATGATTGCAGCAAAAGACGCTCCACCGCCTGGTTGGGCGCGGATAGGCGTACGAAGGTCTGAAGCAACATTGAGGCCAACTGAAGGCTTTCTAAAATCCATCGTGTCCTTGAAAGGCCAAGTGATTGATTCCACAGGCTAGCCGCCTGCCAGCCAAGCTCTATTAGGCATGCTATTGAGAACGACTCGTGGTGAGAGGTGCATGACCTGGAGTCCGAGCCGATGGACGTCCCGTAGTCTCCACCTCTCGGCCGCCGGGACCGATCCAACCAATTTCGGCTGCCCGTTCTTAAGCGGCTCCGACTTGGTTTTACTCTCCTGGCCTTGCTTGGAGGGACTGTCGAGCAAACAAGTCCCGAATAATCCAGCCCCGTCATGGCTATGTGTGGATGTCACAGCCAAGGGACAAAAGGGATAAGTAAAGTCTTTGTCGACCTTGTAAAGACCTTGTAAAAACCTACAGCGTGCCACTGTAGCATATTGCCACGGTCGGTTCAGGAATGATCCATGGTAGTGAAGCATGGCCTGGAAGCAATTATTGAGAGGCGTTCAGCAAGGTTCCCTTAGGAATACGATTGAAATTCCGCTTTACTCCTGTGTCGCCAGAAGACTGAGCGGGCGTACCAGCCAGTAGAAGGCAGATAAGTAGAGAGATGGGACGCGAATCGTACCGGGTGGGTGAGCCGAATCCGAAAAGTGCGAGGGTTCGCACTTTTCAGCATGTCCGAGGATGCGAGGAACCCGGCCCTCCCCCCTTAAACGCCCATGTCCTCACCAAGGGCTCGCGAATGGAATACGACGACTCGAAGTTCACGGCGAGGGGTCGAGGGAGGGTGGTGGAGGAGGACATGGCCCGCGGGATTGGCGAAAGTTGTGCATGATGCGACACTGCGGAGGCTGGCACTGCCACGGACTTCAGCCATGAGCGCGTCTCCGATGAAAAGTTTGTGGGTGAGTGAGTGGGATGGATGAGGGGTCTTTGCAGGGGTGCTGGGTGTTGGTGGGAGAAGCGGTGATTGGATTGACTTTGTTGATCAGATTTGTCGCGCAAGCGAAAGAAATGTTCATGCAGGATCCGTGTGCAGGGCGTGGTTGATGTACCTACTGTACCTCAGTGAACGGGGGTTCAGTGGTCACAAACGCCTTGCTTGTCAGTAACGAACCTCCATGCTGTAAGCCGCAGCTTCAACGGCCAGCGGCTGGCTGACGTTGGATCGATCATCTGAGGTTAAGACCAACAGACAGTGAAGATGTCGTCATGAGACGGCTATGATGTAGTGGTTGGGGGCCACGGCTGCCCCTCCTTCGCCCCGCCTGCTACCACTCCGAGCGCGCGCCCTGTCCCCCCCTCCACCCCCTGACAGGCCGACCCTGCCCCCTGCAAGCCCTGAGACCTATCCACTGGGAGGTGCAGCTACAGAGAGTTCTGGTAGGGGGCTGCCACAAGGCTACGTAGCGCATTGCTCCAACGGCACTGGGGCGCGGGAGGGGCCAGGCCTTAGCACCATCCCATGACACCTGCTAGCAAGGTACTTTCCACTGGACAGCTCAGGTCTTTGGCACATCGACCGTCGTCACTGTCACCACCCATTCGTCTGTACTCGTGCTATCACCACCAACCTCTAGTGGCCAACGCGGGCAGCAGGGCTGGGTGCACTTCGCCCGGCCCGGAGAATGGAAGTGCTGAGAGCATTGTCACCGTCGACTTTGCAGTGAAGCTTTGCCACCCGAAGGTAGCTTGTGTTTGCCTCTTGTCTCCCCAAAGCCATAAAGTACCAGTGCCATCTTCGTGAACCACCCAGCTGTGCCTCAACACCTGCCTCCGCCACGGCGTAGCTTGTAGCCCTTCCTGACCAGACCATCCGGGACGCCCCTTGGCCTCGGAGGCAGCAGCAAGTGTAAATCATCGCCCGATCTCACCAGACACAGCGATCTCAGCGCTTGCGACGCGAAACCTGATTCTCCTACTTCCACCCTTTCACAGGGCTAGACCACTGCCACTACTGACCTGGGCACATTCCACGTCTCCGTCCTTGGCAATTAGTATTTACACCAGCGTCCTTGAACGGGCCTCTGTGGTGTCAGTCGTGAGTTACGCAAAACTCATGTCATTGCACCCAGTCCCGCCAAATATCCCTTACCCACGACCCAAGACGCACCTAAGATAAGACAAGACGGATCCCAGAGTTGGAACCCAAGACACCACGCCCAAACGCCAGCGCTGCCCAGCTTCCCAATTCCACCCTTCCGGACGCCGGCTTCTTCGGTCACATTCATTATATACAACCCATACCTACATCCTTAGCGGCCTACCCGTCTGTGCGACCTATTTATTCGACATTTCCGCCACTCCCGGCAGCTTAACAGCACTTCCCTCGGCCCTTTCCTCCCCCCTTCTGACGATACCACCTTCGCTTTCGCACAAATCCTGTCGAAGCTCTACCGCTGCACCTCGCTGCCTGATCTTACAAGACGCCCCGAAGCCAGCTTCCACACCGCAGGCAGCTCGATCTGACCAGCCGCGTCAGCGCTTCAAGGGTTTTGGATAACCAAACCGCCGGGATTCCCTTGACTCGCTCCAGTTCCCTAGCACCTACAGCTCGACACGAGCAGGCTCCCTCAGCTCTCCAAAGTGGAACAAATTCGACGCCCAGGATTCCCATTCCCGAGTCCACAGGCGCCAGTTTTAGCCCGACCGCCCGGAAGAGGGGCGCGCGCTTTGCAGGTCATACATAGTGCCTCAGACAGTCAGCTGCCGCCGTAGCTACTAGTAGGCACCAGTCGCAGTCATGGGCTTGGTACATGTGCCAGCTCGCCTGCGATCTGCTTCGCTCAGTGAGTCTCGAGTCCCCCCAAGGTCCCCTATCTACCGCCTCCCCCCCACCGATTCACCTGAAGCCGACCCCTCCGATCATCAACGTCACGATCTTTCCCACCCCACCACGTCCCAGACGACGTTCTCCATCTTGTCTCGCTCAACATGCTAAACTGGCTTGCACCAGCAGCGAGCAACGGCTCGAACCATGCGGCCGCCGACGCCAAGCCAGGCGAAGATGATGACACCCTGGTTGTCGAGCCGGATCAGGGCAACGGTGCGTACCCCTCAACTCTGGCCCCCTTCCCGTCCTTTAGGCAGAGAGAAAAAAATATACACTGCGCGACCAGCTGCCCCGCGATGCGGTTCGATGCGACGCGACAAGCAATAACGCAATGCGACTCGAAGCTATACCCCGCGATGCGCCAGATTCCATGAACTCGAAACTGACATTTGCTTTTGCCATGCAGTGCTCACTCACATTATTTCCCAGCTCCGGCCGGGTGCCGATCTTAGTCGAGTAGTCTTGCCTACCTTCATCCTGGAGCCTCGCAGCATGCTCGAGAGAATCACCAAGTCAGAACCCCTCCATCTCTGAACCCTCCCAGCCTCTGGACATGTTGTCTCGCCGATGGGCCATGCTGACAATCCTCCAGCTTCATGTGCCACCCCGAAATGCTTCTTCCTATACCCGAGATCGACGATCCCACGCAGCGATTCGCCTCCGTTGTCAAGTTCTACCTCAGCGGCTGGCACATCCGACCTCCGTCAGTACAACCCCGCGGTCAAAAACGTTCAAACTACACGAAACAAAATCGCTAACTTGGCTTATAGAGGTGTCAAGAAACCCCTCAACCCCATTATTGGCGAAGTCTTCAGCTGCTACTGGGATCTGCCAGACAGCACGCGGGCCTACTACATTGCCGAACAAACCTCCCATCACCCGCCCAAGTCGAGCTACTTCTACATGATCCCCGACCACCACATCCGCGTCGATGGCTGCCTGAAGCCTCGCAGCAAGTTCCTCGGCAACTCGGCCGCCAGTCTGATGGAAGGCACCGTTACCCTGACCTTCCTGAACAGGGGCAAGGACACGGCCAAGGGCGAACGGTAGTGCGTACTCCCTCCATCTCGGCTCCGCTGGTTGGATCAAACGCTGACTGTGCATTTAGCATGCTGACGCAGCCCAACATGTACGCCCGCGGCATTCTGTTCGGCAAGATGAAGTACGAGCTCGGCGATCACAGCTTCGTGCGCTGCCCCGAGCTTGACCTCGTGGCCGACATTGAGTTTAAGACCAAAGGCTGGGTCGGCGGTACCTACAACGCCATTGGCGGCTTCATCAAACGAGAGAGCACCGACGAGGTCTTGTATGAACTTTCAGGCCTGTGGAGCGATGAGATGTTCATCAAGGACGTCAAGGTAACGACCGCGCAAACTCGTCGTGAGAAGCATGCTAATGAATAGTAGACTGGCCACAAGGAGATGTTCTTCAACGCGAAAACATCGAAACCAAGCAGCCCGTCCGTACGGCCCATCGAGGAACAGGATGAGCGCGAGTCACAGAAGCTCTGGCAGGCTACGGCGCAAGCCGTCCGCGAGCGCAATCACGAACTCGCCACCGACGAGAAAACCAAGGTCGAAGACATGCAGCGCGAGGAGCGGGAGATTCGGAATCGGGATGGCGTTGAGTGGCGCCCGAGGCTCTTCAGGCCGGTCAACGGCGGTCCCGGCGGTCCCGAGGAGGGAGAGGAGGACCTCGAGTGGATCATCAACGCCAACATGTGAGTCTTACGGCACCATGACGCCACAACTTGAGGATACTAACGCGTTCATCAGTGACGGCGAGACACCCGAGAAGCAGGCTGAGCAGGTCCTGGCCATTTATCCCATACTGCCCGGACAAAAGGTCTCTTCCGAGAACCAGATCCCGCCGAACAAGCCCGCGGAAAACCAGCCAAAGGCCACGGAGGCAGCGACACCTCCGCCTGCAACCGAGCCTACGCCTGCTGCGGCTCCCGCAGCAGCGCCCCAGAATGATCTCATCGATTCAAGCCACTCCGAGACAGCAGCACCCACAACCCAGGCTGCTGCTGCTGCTGCTGCGGCCACGACGGCGCCCCAGGTGACCAGACACGACTCTCAGGATATCGCGGGCATGTTGAGTAAGACGGGCAAGCCAGCGGCAGATGGGCCGCTGATTGACTTTGTCGGCGATCTCAAGAAGAACGTGCCCGACCTGAAGAGGGCCGACACAAGCGAGGATGACTTCCAGGATGCGCAGGAGAAGTGAAAGGGCCGCTACATGGCTAGACCCACGACCTCACGAGAGAAGCAGCGAGTAGGGGAGCTGCACATCAGCGCAGGCCACGACATGGCTTGATCACAAGGTTGGCTTTTGGGGGAGGAAGCATTCGGGACATCCGGGCGGGAATGGGGCCAACAGTCGGTTAGAAAAGGGATACCATGATGACACGACACACGCATGTACGGGTCTCTCTGTAGATAAGCGCACCGTCACGGGGAGGGGGTTAATGGAGTCGATACAAACACGATCCGCTGAAGCATCAACGTAGGGTTCAAAAGTTACAGATTCCTGGTCCTGACTACATGTGAACGACGTCTTTCGGCCATCTCGGCAAAGGTTCTGCCCTACACTCGCGAACCCAAAACGCCCAACGCCCTCTCAAGATGACATGTTCCCTTCCTCTCCTTCATCCCCTACGGGGTATCATACAATGCATCCTGCCTTTTCTTCTCAGCCCTTGGAATTGCAAGGGCGCCCCATCCCAATTCCTTTTTTTTTCTCTTTTATTTTCAAACTGGTTCGCCCTGAAAACTAGTCAAGTTCTCCCTTTGCTCTCACCCGCTCAAGCGAACCGCCGCCTCGTCGGCTCGGGCGTCGGGCTGCGCGAGGGGCTCCTCTCGTCACGGCCGCGGTCCTTGAGCCACTTCTTGGTGCTGAGGACGAGCTCGCGGTCGAGCTCGTCCGAGGGGTTCTTGCGGTGGATAAAGTTGCAGAAGCCGCCGCGCACGCAGCCTTCGCCCGAGTTGAGGCGACAGCAGGCCTCGCGAAAGTCGGTCACGGGCGACAGCTCGGCGTAGATGGGCCGCGCGGCATACCAGCGCGAGTTGAGCGCGTCGCAGGCTTTTTGCGCCGAATCTTCGTACTTGAAGCGGGCGTAGACGTTGCCGATGAGGTCTTGGGGTCCCCGTTAGCATGGTCATCACACACACATCCACATTGACGCCGTGAGAAAGGAGATCCTGTGCGGGAAGCAAATCGCCCAAGAAAAAGGAAGATCAAACTCACGGTCGTTATTGTTGTCGCAGACGACGAGCTCCTCGAGTTCTCCGTACTGGCATAGCTCGCACCAAATGTCCTCGTAGAAGGCGTCAAAGTGGTTCTGCAGCTGGCTCGGGTTCATGCGGTTCTTCGGGTCGTAGGCCGGGTTCTGGTACAGATTCGGCATGAGAATCGTCTGGCTGTACGAGGGCTTGACGTGCTTTCGCGAGCAGCGGTCGCCGTGGCGGCAGGCGCCGATCTTGAAGTAAAAGGAGCAGTTGACCTTGTCGAGCTCGGTGCCGAAAATGGAGGCGAGGAAGTTGGCCATGGCTGCGGAGTGATACGGTGGTGCCTGGTAAGGGTGTCGAAGGGTGCTTTGATGGTGTCGGCGGCAGGAGACCGGTGGTGATGCTCGTGGGAAGGCTGGCGTCGGTCGCGACGGGGATTCTGGGGAAGTTTTGAAGTAGCCTTGCGCTGTTGCTAGAACCCAATGGCTGGTTCTGGCGCCACCTTGTGGCGTTGGATGATTAAGATGGTGGAACCTGTGCGGGTAGACATGCTTAGTCAGTGGCTCAGCCACATAATAGGCCAGCGCTTTCTTCTGTCGCTTGTCTGTATAGCGCAGTAATAAAGAAGATTTAAAAGCTACTCCGAACGTTGTAGCCCGTCCCAATACTACGTGATCTCTAACGATTATCGTTTTTATCTACTCTTCTCGGGTCCTTTGCGCCAAAAATTCTGTACGCCAAAATCCAGTAAGTACCAAGCATAGACTTAGTGTAGCATAATCAAGTGACAAAATCATAACATAACCTGCGAGTAACCACAATATATGTGATGGATTAGATCGTGACATGGCACATGCGCCATCAATAGAGTTTCGTACAGACAACTAGTGTATGTATGCATGTATGATATGTATGCCAACACAAAGCACAAAGTTGAGGGGCCTCCTCAATCGGCTTGAAAGATACTAACATACGACCGCAGCTACTTGAAGACTAGATGGCGTGGTGAAGGTCATGACTCGTTACCCCGAGTCTTTGGAAGCCCATTCTTCTCTCCCTGTGACAGCCGTTCACTCATTTGTACGTTGGCCCTTAAATTGCCTAGAAACCCTCTTGTTTTGTAGAATCCTTCTATGAACCTTACGCAAAGAAGGCAGGCTTCGGCAAATAGGGTTCCTCCAAAAAGTTGATCTCATCCTCCGTCAATTCAACCGTCAGTGCCTCAATGGCCTGGTCAATCCGCTCCTTGCTTTCCAGACCACAAATGGGAGATGTTCCCTTACTCAGAACCCATGCAATCGCAATCTGTGCCATGCTGATGCCTTTCTTCTTAGAAAGCTCTTCCACACGTCCGACAATGGCCTCATCGGCCGCTTCCTCGCGACCGCGGAACAGTGCTTTGAGGAAGACGTCTGACTTCTCACGAGGGTCAGATCGGTCTGTCCACGCGTGAGTGAGCATACCCGCGCTCAGAGGCGACCACGGCATGAGGCCAACGCCGGTTGCCTTGCAGAAGGGAATCATTTCGCGCTCATCCTCGCGGGTGAGGAGGTTGTACAAGCCCTGCATCGAGATGAACTTGTGCCATCCGTGCTTTTCGGCAACATTCTGAAGTCTTTGGAACTCCCAGGTGGCCATCTACATTTGAATCTTAATATGAGCTCGAAATTTGCACTCGGGGCTTGTAAATCTTACGGTACTGGCACCAATGTACCTAACCTTTCCGCTCTCAACCACGTCATTCAACGCCTTCATGATCTCTTCAGGCTCGACGTCGCGATCGAGACGATGAATTTGAAGAACATCGATGTAGGTTCCGAGCCTCTCAATGCTCTTGTTCGACGGCGTCGAAGATGTGCTTCCCTTGAGAGTCCGACAAGGTTGACAATGTCGCCGTCGATGGTGATAGAGCGAGGGGGGTTGACCGCGCCACCAGCCTCGTCGACGTACATGTAGCACTTGGTCATGATAACAAGCTTTGATCGGGGGATATCGTACTTCTTGATGGTCTTTCCAATGATCCTCTCCGACTCGCCATTGGAGTACGTGTCAGCAAACGTCCCACGTGTTGATGCCGCGGTCGAAGGCGTATTTGAGAACGGGCAGACCCTCCTCTTCGGGACGAATCCACTGCTGCCAGTTTTTGTCGCCAAAGCTCATACCGCCGAAGACAATGCGGGATGTCTTGAGGCCGGACTTGCCAAGTCTGTAGGCAAACTAAGGTCATTGGGTGTTTGTCAAGGGTGCCAAAGGCAGAATAATCTGGTTTGCAAACCCGAATGATTGAGTTCAGAGAGAAAGTTACCTGGTGTACTGCATTTTGGTCGACATCTGGCCTGATTCTTAGGTACGAGTCAGTATTTTTGATACCGTGTTGTTCAGTGTTGACAGGGCTTTCAAGTAATGTTTGAAAGCTGATCTTGAATCTTTGTCCTGGAGTTCTGAGTATGTTTGGACGAGTAGAGAGCGGATTTGCAATCGTAAGAAGCCGGCCCGTCGTGTTACTTAAATAATCTCTCAGCAGCTGCCAAATGTCCGAATTCGTGGTCACTAACATGTGCCATGCTTTGCCTTTGAGCTGAAGCTTCACAACAAGCTCCAGATTCGCTAGTCAGTGACATGGACGTAAGTGGTCGTTGAATTGGTTGGCCCACAACGGGCCCTAATGCACCATAAGCCGCTTGCATGAGACTACAAGTAGTGCCGATCCGCAGTTCTGAATCCCGTCACCACGACGCCCAGCTACATACATCGCCGCACAGCTGAATCCCAGCAAGGTTGAGGTACACCATGGTATTCGAATTATCCGAGATGCGCGTCGCAATGGACGATTGGAGAGGAGTGACCAGCCCTGCGGAGAGGAAGAAGCGGCAGAATCGTCTAAGTCAGAGAGCTTACCGTTAGTACATGTCATGCCCTCGTTCAGGATCACTATCCTATCGTACCGTCGGCTGACAAGACACGCCTATTCTCACAGGAAGGAGAATGAAGGATCAGCAGGAAAGCACTCGAAGTTCTGATTCGGCCGGCACAGCAACGTCGGCTGAGTCGCATTCGACACAAGCCCCCCTGCCAAACACGCGCCAGAAATGTGAAATGGTACCCTTCCAAGGCCACCTGCTCCCCCCTTGTCCCAGGAAATCGGCTTCCATCCAGGCTTTGCTTATGGACACGTTCCAGGATTACAGCCTTAATGCCCCTCGCCCCAGCCAACTACAGCTCCTCATCCGACTCAACGTCCTTGATGGCCTTGCTCGAAATGCGGAAGCCCTTGATTTCCCAGTCAAGGGCCTCTGCGCTGACGAGTTCATTTCTCCTTTCAACTACCAGGATGGGCATCGGCCGTCTTCGCAGTCCTCCCACCCCGAGTCTCTCAGTCCGACGGCCCTCCAGCGAACGGTGCGACATCACCCGTGGGTGGACCTCTTCCCTCTGGCGCGGCTTCGTGATAACGTCCTCCGCGGTCTCACTTCAGGGACAATTGACGAAGATGAGCTCTGCTCCGACCTACTCAACGTTGAGGACACGAACTGGTCAGACGTAGACAAGCCGTCGCTCATCCTCTGGGGCGAATCGTGGGACATCTAAGGCTGGGAGGCGAGCGCCGCTTTCCTGCGCAAGTGGGGCTGGATCACGCAGGGTTGTCCAGAACTGATCGAGGGAACTAACTACTGGCGGCAAATACGGGGCGAGCAGAGCATTGTCTTCGATGTCAGTGACGATGGTGCGAGCACATTGGCGAATATCAAGTTTATCTCGGCCTTGTCGGGATCAAGGATTTTACCGGCGATAACGGCTACACCCGCGGAAGACACTAGACCAACTGACTGATAAATCAGCGATCAACGACGAAAATGGGGTACTTAAGTCGACAAACCTTGGCCGGCGAGTGTACAGGCTTGAGCGATCTCCTGGAGACTTTAGAACCGAGGATTCATTTGAAAGCATGCCAAGATGATGCTTAGAATAGCTTCAACCTTCGAACAACATTGTTCAAGGTGGAATTCACTACTTGTACTTTGGAGACTGAACTCGAATTGGGGCCCAATGTTCTTACGGCCTCCAGGCTGATCGAGTG